CCTCTTTCGCCTCTCGAGCTCCAAGGGCCGAGGACAAAACTTTTGGCAGGAGGAGGAGGAGGAGGAGGAGGAGGGAGCAGGGAGGAGGAGGAGGAGCAGGAGGAGGAGGAGGAGGAGGAGGAGGAGGAGGAGAAGGGAGAGGATGAGGAGGGAGAAGGAGGAGGAGGAGGAGGAGGAGGAGGAGGAGGAGGAGGAGGAGGAGGAGGAAGAGGAGGACCGCGTCGGGGGGTGGATCGCCGCATGGGCATCGACGGAGATCACCCTGGGTCTGCGGAGGCACCTGAAGGACCAACTGTGTCCTGGCCCCAGGGCTCGACCTAAACGGTGTTTCGGCGATTTCGTTGGCCGTTGTCGTTGTACTTCCGTTTTGCTGCAGAGGCGGAACGAAGACAGAACGAGGGACAACGAACACAACACGAGCACGGATAGCACAGTGTAGGTCGAGCTTTGCTTGTTCCTGGATCCTCCATCTTTCACTGGGGGTTGGAAGGCTGCTCGACAGCATCGGAGTTGGAGCGCTTCTCGGACAGCGAAGAGAACAAGGACGACGAGGACGAGGACGAGGAGGAGGACGAGGAGGATGTGGAGGAGGACGAGTGTAAACCCAGGCCGCGTAAACGATGTTGCAAGACACCCTCTCTCCAAATTCCCCTTTCATAATTCGGTCCCCACAGGAATTTGTTCTCGTTGCAGGAAGTGGCCCACATAGGTGGTTATCATCAGTTGCCAAGCCCTCATTATCGGTGTTGCGGTGCAGAAGAATTTGCGAGGCGTGCCCCATTGGAAAACAACCGTCAGGGAATCTGCAACCGTGCCAAACACCAGTAGTCGGACTTGAGTTGAACACCGCGTATCAACGTGATTGTAGCGTCTTGGGAATCATAAACCGTGCCAGAACCTGATTCCTGGGACTTCAGCGCCGCGAGCCAGTGTGACTGTCGCATTCTGGCAATCTTATTTCACGCCAGAACGCCACTCCTTGGATCTCAGCTACGCGAATCAACGTGACTGCTGCGTCCTGACGTTCCTAAATCGGGCCTGAATGCTTCTCCTGGGATTTCAACAGCACGAATTACGGGACACCTGTAATCACCACGAAAAAGGTAGGTTTTTGAGCTGATTCCAGCTTTTCCATAATTCGAACTCGATGTTTCCCATCATTCGAATTATGGAAAGACGTGGACCAACTATGAAAAGCCGCGGCACACTTTTGACACGAATGCGCTCGGCGCGAAGGCGAGACCACCAGCTTGAGAGAAGGACCCGCCCTCCATGCTTGCAAACGCTGCCAACTTCAAAAACCAAGGTGGACGGCGCTAAGGCGAGAGCCACATTTTGAGATGGGAGGAGGATGGTGAGGATGAGGCGGCGGAGGAGGAGGAGGAGGAGGAGGAGGAGGGGGAGGAGGAGGGGCACTACCGAGTGGTTGAAAGTAGGAAATGACCTCGCTGACGATTGGGCTCAATGGCAGTGTTCGCGGTCTCGCATTCCCGAAGAAATTCGCAGCGCCATCAAGGCCAGGGCCAAAGTTTTACGTTCCTGGGCTTCTTGGACGGCCCAGATTGGGCCGCTCATGGCCGACCTTGACGCTTTCCACATCTCGAAGCGGGCCGCCAGCAGCGGCAATACACAGCAGCTGCAGGTGGGGCCCGTGCTCTTTCTCTCTCTCTCTCTCTGCCCACCCGACCAGCACGCCGCCCGTGCTTTCGCGAGCCGGCACGGCTCACTTGCGCGTCGCAGGCGATGGATGTCAGCCGCACGCCGCACACTCGTTCCAGATTGAGGGGGGCCAGTGGTGTGTGGTGTGTGGCGTGCTGTGTGTGTGGGGCGGGAGGGACTGTCGTCTCGGCTAGGCTCGCCAGCGAGTGCCCAGGAGCGTAACCCCACGGATCCTGGGGCGCTCGCGTGCTTTCGAATCTCGCCGGGGGCCGATCGTCCGTGAATAAGAAATGGCACTTCCTTTTGCAGCCACTTGTCGCCTCCGACGCTTTTCGCGTGGGTGAGGTCTCGTCGGGGCACAGGTTTGGACGGCGCCGCCCATCTGCCCCTGCAGATGGTGGCGCAAACGGCAGTCAGGCGCCTCTGTCTGCTGCCGCTGCTGCCTCCACCCTCGACGACGAGCTCGAAGGTGAGGAGGCTGCAGCGCTCTCCAATTTCGCCAGTGGCCCTGCAGGCCTTAGCCGTGATGGGGGAGTTGGGGGCGCGGGGGTGGCGGAGGATCTCGGGCGTCGCTTGCCAGAGCCAACACGAAGGCATTTAGGAACCTGCTCCATATTTGTCTGGGTAGGTGGTGAAGTTTGTGGGTCGGGTCCTGTGCCGGGGCTGCCCCGAGACAGCACCCACCCCGCCCTGCCCAGGTGGTGCCAGGCAGGACTTCACCTTTTGTGTCTTCTCGCGCCGTCCATGGTGTTGTATCCCGCGTCAGCGGCGTCGGTGGCGTGAGTGGCTGCAGGCGCCATCCGCGCACGCCGGCGCGGTGGCGCAAGTGGCTTCGGCTGGGGGTCGCTGGCAATCGGTCCACTGCTGGGGTTGCCCCAAGACTGGTCCCGACGGCTCTGTCCCTGTGGGGAGAGGTTCTCCCAGCGCGCGTGGTTTGGTGTTCGCCTTTGCATGTATTTGCCATGCGGCAATTGCGCAGTTTTGGAGAGCGCCGTGTATCTTTCCCGTGCAGATGGTGGCGCAAGCGGCAGTCTGGCGCCACCCACGTCAGCGGCGTTGGTGGCGTAAGTGGTTGCAGGCGCCATCCACGCTCGCTGGCGCGGCGGCGTAAGTGGCATTGCGGCCTGTCGGACTCACGATGCATTACGGCTCTGTCGAGGAGGGGGAGGAGGAGGAGGAGGAGGAGGAGGAGGAGGAGGAACGTTCACGGCGCTAAGGTGAGAACCACATGTTGAAGCATCCGCCCATTATTTTTGAACGTTGTGAACTTGACGAAAGTGCACGGTGCCAAGGCGATATCCACATTTTGAAGCATCCGCCCCTTCTTTTTGAATGTTGCGAACTTGACGAAAGTGCACGGCGCTACGGCGAGAGGCACGTTTTGAAAACCACCCGCTCTCCATCGGGATTTGTATAAGCTCTGCGCGGTGTTAAGGCGATAGTCACATAATGAAAACAAGTCGCCCTCCATCGTTAAAACAGCTGCAAATTTCAAGCTTCAGGATCATAAATTAATCATGTGGACGTCTCACGTGAAACGCCCTGCCCGCCCAACCGACACGTCCGTGGATGCGGCAGAGAAGAGTGATTTACAAGGAAAAGAGATAGAAGAGGGAGGAGGAGGAGGAGCAGGATGAGAAGGAGGAGGAGGAGGAACAGGAGGAGGAGGAGGACGAGGAGGTGTAGGACGACGACGAGGAGGGGGACGAGAACAGGGACGAGGAGCAAGGCGAGGAGCAAGACAAGCAGCACCCGGCGGACGACGAGGGGGATGAGGACGAGCAAAACCACACCGGAGGTGAAGCGCCGCATGGGCAACGACGAGAGCAAGGGCAAGGCTCGGGGGATGCAGACGTGCCCCTGGCCGGGAAGGGGTCCCCTGGGGCCCCCTTGGCCTCGTGAGGGTGTGCTCTGGTCAGGGGCAGCGATCAGGGGGGGGTGATACAGTCGAACCGGGGTGCAAGATCGAGGTCGGTTCTGGGAGGGTGCCCTCATGTTCTTCGCGCCTGTTGGATGTTTTTGCGCATCCTGGGGGAGGGCACCCTCGAATGGTTTTCAGTTGGGACCGGCGGAGGTTCTCCTGTTCTTGAGGGCTGTTCTGTCCCAGGTCCGACCGAAGGCTCAGGGGGGGGCGCCTTTCTCGGCATCGAGGTCCGCGGTTTTCAGGCGTTCTTGTCGGCCCCCAGCGGTCGTCCAGCCTCGGGGCGCCTTCAGCGGCTGCGCCTCGCCAAGGGCGTTCCGGGGGTGCCTGGATCGTCCCGAGCGGCCGCCAGAGGCCCGATCTATGACCCGAGAACCACCAAGGGATAGTTTCAGGGTGGGATGCATCGACCCCCAATCGCCCATTGATCGCCGATAGGGGTCTGACGGCCCCACCCCGCCCAGGAACGCGCGGATTCGCTATCGGAGGCCCATCGCCGATCTGTCGGCGATGTGTCGCCCATTCGAGGTCTATGTTTCCCCTCCTATGCTAGTACCCCCCTATCGTTGCCCCTCATCCGGAGGCCGTGGGGGCCTCCTCCCAGACACCTGGCGATGTGATTTTTCGAGTGCGCGGCCACGTTTTTGATGGTCCTGGTGCCCGCGAGAAGCTTCCCGAAGCCCGAGATCAAGAATACGCCGCTGGCTGAAAAAGTCACGTCGTCGGAGACCTGGGCTCTCACGCCACAGCTCAGGCCTGCGACGGCCTCGAACAGGCCCCCGACGTAGATCCGCGGAACAGCCCAAAGACGAGCAGGAGGAGGAGAAGGAGGAGGAGGATGAGGACGGTGAGGAGCATGAGGAGGAGGAGGAGGGATGAGGAGGAGGAGGAGGAGGAGGAGGAGGAGGAGGAGGAGGAGAAGGAGGGGGAGGAGAAGGAGGAGGAGGAGGAGAGAGGAGAAGGAGGAGGAGGAGGGGGGAGGAAGAGGAAGAGAAGGAGGAGGAAGAGAAGGAGGAGGAAGAGGAGGAGGAGGAGGAGACCTGGGCTCTCAGGCCACAGCTCAGGCTAGCGGCGGCTGTGGTCGGGAGGATCCCGGGCCACCCACTCCAGAACGCCCTCTACGAGGTGCGGCCTCGGCACAAAGTTCCCCGAGGCCGAGGAGCCTCGGGGCACTTGCCCTGAGATTCGACGCTGCGCTTACCACCGAGGCCACACACCCAGTTCGGAGAGTCTGGGGCGAGCCCACATCTGGCCGTGTCACGGAACACCAGATATTTCAGCAGTGCTGGAGGACATCATCATCATCATCATCATCATCATCATCATCATCATCAGCAGCAGCAGCAGCAGCAGCATCATCATCATCATTGTCATTATCATTATCATCATCAACATCATCCTCATCCTCATCCTCATCCTCATCCTCAGCATCATCCTCAGCATCATCCTCAGCATCAGTATCAGCATCATCAGCATCAGCATCATCATCATCCTCAGCATCAGCATCATCCTCAGCATCAGCATCATCAGCATCATCAGCACCAGCATCAGCATCCTCAGCATCATCATCATCAGTATCAGCAGTATCAGCGTCAGCATCATCATCAGCATCATCAGCATCATCAGCATCATTAGCATCAGATCATCAGCATCATCGTCATCATCATCAGCAGCATCATCATCATCTCATTCGAGAAACCTCGGGGAGCTTGCCCTGAGATCCGACGCTGCGCAAAAGACCGAATACTAACATCTCCATGAACAGAAACTTTGGGCTCTCCACGCGGGCTTCTCGCGCATCCGCTCTGGGCTCGCCCAGCGGCGCCCCCGGCGCCGCACCTGGCGCGCCCCGCGCGCCATGGAGGGGGGGGGCCCAGCGCAGATCCAAGAAGTCCTCGCGGATCGCCAAACGTTTATGTTTATGCCTATGTTTATGCCTATGCTCATGCCTATGTTTATGTTTATGCCTATGTTTTTGTTGTTTCTTCTTTATGTTCATGTTTATGCCCATGTTTATGCTTTTACGCTTACGCAGCTCTTCATATGGAAATGCAGCATCGCGGAGAACCGCGACCGGAGCCCCAGACCCCGTCTTGCTGCTGCACTTCTCGAGCCAGATATCGGTCTGCGAGGGTCCAGGGGCCCGAGGCTGGGCGGAAGCGCCCGGCGTGAAGAGAAGGCTGCGCCAGGGCCTCAGGGTACGAAACCGGCCGACATCCGCCAGGTGCCGACGGAAACACTGGATCTCCGCGAGGGCACCTTAGGACTGACTTCGGATCCGGCGTGCGTGCTTTGTGCGATTTCGCAAGTAGCTCGGAAATTCCCGCCCTGCTTTTCAAGCTCCTGGGATGCCGATTTCCGCCCTGCCGCCGCTGTTTCCACCATCCTTCTGCCGAGATGTCCGCCCTGTTTTTTCTGAGGTGGAGACTCCCGCCCTACTCTTTCGCGTCGTTTGGGGTGCATTTCCGACACGATTTTTGGTCGACTGATCAACCGGGGCACGGCGGATCCCAGGGCATGGGGGGGGCTAGCCCCCACGTGGCTCCCAAAACGCCGGTCGGCCCCCAGGGGATCCGAGGGGACGGCGCGGACCTTCGTCCGCGCTGATCCCCGAGCTTGCGTGCGCCCCGACGCCATGCCGCCATCCCCCGCCCCCCCGCCCGGTTCTCCGCCCTGCGGATCCGAAATCAGGAGAGGCTAGCGTTTCGCAGCCCAGGGCGATAGCGGGCGTTGCCGCGGGGGGGAGAGGGGCGGGGGGCCGGCAACGTCGCGTTTCGAGCCGGCGCCGTCTGGGAACGCTGAGGATCCAAAGGCGCGCCGGAGGTCAACACGACTAGTGACGCTGCCTGGGGGGGGGGGGCCAGGGCCAGTAACAGCTGCCATCGCGGAAAAGGACACATACCCTCGAGGGCACCTCAAGATCTGGGGAGCTGCACCTTCCGCGCCTCCTGTGCGGCGGCGGCACCTGCGGCCACGCCGCGGTGGCGCCTGCCGCGGCGTGGCCGCCGAGGCCACTGCGGCGGCCCTCTTGCGGCGCGGCGCCTACTGCCGCTCGGAAGGCGAAGAGAGTGCAGCCCTCCTCCTCCTCCTCCTCCTCCTCCTCCTCCTCCTCCTCCTCCTCCTCCTCCTCCTCCTCCCTCCTCCTCCTCCTCCTCCTCCTCCTCCTCCTCCTCCTCCTCCTCCTCCTCCCTCCTCCTCCTCCTCCTTCCTCTTCTTCTCCTCCTCCTCCTCCTCCTCCTCCTCCTCCTCCTCCTCCTCCTTAGGGCACCTCGAGGGCCAGGGGCGCCCGCCAGGCGTCGGGGGCGAAGGACCCCTCGGCGAAGAGCCGCTCGGCCGGCTCGGCGGCGGCGGGCGAGGGCGGCAAGGCCTCCGGTCGTCGTCTTCTTCGCCGCCGCCGCCGCTACGGTCGTCGTCGTCGTCGTCGTCGTCGTCGTCGTCGTCGTCGTCGTCGTCGTCGTCGGCTCGAAGTTTTCGGGTTCTCGTCGGTCCTTGGCGGTTGTCCAGCCTCGGGATGCGTTCCAGCGGCTGCGCCTTGCCGAGAGCGTTCTGGGTGTGCCTGGATCGCCGCGAACGGCGGCCGTAGACCCGAGTTATGAGCCGATGGCCACAAAATGGGGGAGGGGCGGGGAGGAGGAGGAGAGGAGGAGGAGGAGCAGGAGGAAGAGGAGGAGGAGGAGGAGGAGGAGGAGGAGGAGGAGGAGCATCTCCCCCTCCTCCCTGCAGTTGCATTCTTGATGGCCCCATGGCTCGGTGACGGGCCCCGGAGGCCGAGAGGAAGCACGCCGGGATTGAAAACATCATGTCGTCGGAGATTTTGGGTGGGGGCACCTGCTCTAGAAGACTTCCCTGTAAGCTGGAGTAGTGGCCGTTGCCTTGTGCCTGTGTTCCTGGGCCCTCGGCGTTTTGCGCCTGTGTTCCTTGGGTCCTGTGCGCTCCGCCGCGCTGCCTGTCGGCCCTCTCGCGACTTGGGCTCCCAAGTTTCACACATTCTTTAGTGGGCGTGTGTAATGGGGCGGCGCTCGAACCGCCATTGAGCCATCCAGAGATCGGTGGTGAGAGGTGCCGTCGTGCATTCATCGTGCACCAGCGGCGGTCCGAACAGTTGTTTTTGTCACCCCCTGCGTGCCTCACCTACACTTACAAATACATGCCTGCAGCTGTCTTGGCTGCGACTAGGAGAAAGCGCGTGCGCCCGCTCGTCCCTCGGCAGGCCGGCTCTCTCTCTCTCTCTCTCTCTCTCTTTCTTTCTCTTAGTATCCCGATTTCACTTGCTGCTCAACGGCACATAACACACTTCTCGCTATGGCAACAAGAAGTACGTCCCCAAATCACCACTTGAACCTGAGCAGGAGACTGTTACCGGAAGAACAGAAGGAAAACAACCACATGAACAATACCAAAGTTCGACGATCAGCTGAGCTACGAAAGCTCCCCTCCCTAAGGGGAACTGGCAAAAATAGTGGCTATCTGCCGAAAGTGCTGTCATCGATGAAAGTGTATCACCAGATAAGGAAATAATGTTTCAACCTTCGATGAACGATGTGCGACCAAAAGAAAAATCGCGCCACAACTTGAGTGTGAACGTTCCTGAAGCAGATTCAGCCGATTATGTCGGAGAACCGAGCCAACGCCCCCACTCCAAGATCAGCCGAAACATTTCCTTCGATGACGAGCCTCGCCCGGACATTCCGAAGATCAAATCCGACCAGGAGCTCAACTGGTGCGAGCAATATCCTGTTCCGATCGCCGATCAACCCGAAGTCCCCATCGACCTCTCGGATGGCGAGCACGACGTGGAGTCGATCTCGTCGGAGGAGAACTTCTCTCGCAGATCGACGCCGAGACCCATCGCCCACCGTGAAGCTCACGCGCCACATGAAGGAGGGGGCGAGGCCAATGGCGTTGGATCCCCGGTCCCGTTTGGCGACTATCGGCCCCCTGCGCAGGTGCCCCTCGCGCGCGGCGACGAAGCCGCGATTCCATCCGATGATTCATTGGGGCGGGGCTCGGGGGAGATCATGGAATATATGCCCGCGGGCGGCTCTGTCAGGGCGGCGAGCGAGCAAAGACGTGAGACGGTTAGTCTTTCCGTGGCATCACCGATCGGTGGGCGGAGCAGGTCCGACGGCGACCCCGAGCGCGGCCTTGCGCCCGCTCCCGGGGGGGGGGGGGGGCGGGGGCTATGCGCCCGGGCTCCGCCGCGCCCTTCTCAGACGAGCCATCGACCGCCAACCTCGATGTCCGAGACGCCTGGGCCGCAGGCCCGCTCTCCTCGCAAGCGGAGCGCCGAGAGGGGCAGACCCAGGGCCCCAAGGCCACGTTCGGAGCGCCCGACCTGTCCAATCTTCCGGGCAGGCCGGGCGCATTCAGCATGCGCGCCAATGCCAAGCGTGCCAGCTGCGAGCTGCAATGCGCAATGGCTCCTGAATCCCGATGCCCTGGTACGTCGGGGCAGTGCAAGAAGCAAGTTCGTTGCGAATGCGCGGGTGTCTGCGGCCTCTGCAACGCGAACTTCTCATGTCCGGCGTGGGCCGCCCCAAATGCGCATGACTGCGCATGTTTACGCGCGAACGAATGGCGAGAATCTGAGGAAAGGAAGAGGTTTGATCACGGAGACCAGGGAGAGAGACCTAGCTGAGATGCGCGAGCAATTTAGAGAGTCGGAGTTGCAACAACAAGCAGCCGCTGGAGATAACAGTCGCCCCCGAGCGCTATGCCCAACTTCAGGAAAAAACACCTTGCTGAAGAAGCGTGGCGCGCTGCCCGGGGGGCCGGCGAAACTCGGCAGGTGATTGCGTCGCAGGCGGCCCAAGAGCTTCGAGGAGCGAAGGATCGGAACTCGCGGTGAGCCGCGGAGGCAGCCGCTGCCGCATAGCAGGCCGAAGCGGATCGCGTCGTCGCAGGTGAGAGCCACGCTCGTTCCGCGGCCGACGTGCAACGCGCTCGGGAAGAGATGCAGCTGATCGAAGCGCCCGCTGAGGAGAAAGTCGCGGCAAGTGCTCGCGAGGCGGGGCAGAAGGTCGCCCGGGCGTTGCAGAATTGGGAAGTTGAGCGGGACAAGCTGCGTCGCAAACTGAATGGGCACCAGGTGCAGCGGAACCCGATTAGAGCGTCTTCTGCAGCGTCACCGGGGACGGGGTCAGCTGCGGAACCGAATGCTGCCGCTGCGCAAGTTTCACGGTCGTTAGCCCCGCCAGCGGCTGTGGGGCCCGCTGCGCAGGGGGGCGCAGGTCGCAACCCCTGCGCGGGGGCCGTATGATGTTTCTGATGCTCTAATGTGGTTTCTCGCGACTGCGCCGGATGCAATGGGGGCGTTTGCGACGACCGCTTTGCGCGGGGCGGCGAGACGCGCGCGCGCTGCCGCGGCAGAGATGCGACTGCAAGAAGCTCGAGGGGCAGAATGCCGCTGCGTCTATGCCGAGGGCCGCTCTCGCGACCGCTTATCTCGGCCCGCGCCCGGGCCGTGCCGCGGGAGTCCGCGACCGCCGGGCGGAGAGCGCAGCTGCTTGAGTTTGAAGAGGCCGCGAGAGCTGAAACTGAAAGGCGCATGGAAATTCTCGAACAGGCTATGCAGCGGTGAGAGGACCGCGCCGGGATGCGCGCTGAACGCAATGTGAAGGTCCAAGAGATGCGTGAGAAACGAACCGAAGCGGCCGTTGGTTTGGCGTGGCAGAACCAGGAAAGAGAGAAAGGCCGATCGCGACGTCCAGGAACAGAAAGGCCCGATGCTCAACCCGGAGCCAGTCGGAGCCGACATTGGAGTCTCTTTCCCGGGGTGCACGTCGCCAGGGCCGATGGGGGTTTGCCGAGTATCTGCGGAGAGATAAGGGGGGTGAAGCGACTTCCCAGAGAGAGGCGCCAGTGCCTCAACATCCAGTCTCGAGCCCTCCAGGCGACGACGGCGGAGATGATGGCGATGATGATGAGGGCGACGGGGATTCCCAGCTCGAGGGCGAAGGTTGCCCAGCGCCCGATGGGGGGGGGCTGGGCAGCGGCCCGGCCCGTCGGCGCCAGCGTGGCGGAGGGCCGCCCGACGACGACCCCCGCCTGGAGGCGGCGGTGGCTGAGGCGGCGCCCCCACCTCGTCGATGGATGTCGTCCCTGCCGCCGCTCAGCACTTGAATGGCGCAGGCAAGACGGAGAAAACAGTTCTGGGGGCGATCCCCGACGCTGCCAACTGCAAGCGGTGGCAGCGTTATGCGGTCAGGACTGCAGTGCTGGCTTCACCGAAATGCAAGGAAGCTGTTAGATGGATAGCGCACGCATGCGATCTTAAGAACGTTGAAGCGAACGCGCTGAAAGACTGTGGCCACATCGCCCGACTCGACCTGATGATCGCGACCGACCTTATGGCGAGAGTCAACGAGGTAGTTAGGGGCAGGCAATTCTCGTCTCAGCTCCGCCATCTTGCGAGTGAAATTGAATGGTTGGACATCTCCTCGCAAGCCGCCATAATAATGATGAAACGTCGTGGGGTTTTGCGCATTATTGCCGCGCGCGTGACCGCCCGCCATGACCGCGGTCAGGTGTGCGCGTGCTCGGACCTGATGGAGATTCAGATCCGCGGTGCGGGCAAGGGGGCGGATGGCGACCTGTTCCACTTCTAGTAGGAGTCGGTGAGGACACTTAACGAGATGCAGGAACTGAACGACTCCTTCCGCCGTCACATTTCTACCGCCAAATGCAACAGTGCCCTTGCATGCAGTATACTCTTGTGATCTATGATCATTACAACGATGAGTGTGGTACTGGGGCGAGGACTTACGAATGGCTGCCATCGAGGGTCAGCGGTTTCATGCGCAAATAGCGAAGACAGATCAACCGCGAAAAGCAGCGGATAATGTTGGATGCCCGCGGTCTCCCCGCGGGGCGCGGGAGGCGGGTGCGGGGGCGAAAGTGCTGGCAAAGGCGGGCAACATCTCTATGTGAAAGACGGTCGCCTCAAGAAATCGATGCCATGCAACAAGTTCCTTCAGGGCAAATGTCCGTGCGCTCGAGCACGGCGTCAACGCCTGCGCCCGATGTGAAGTGGCGACCCTGCCGCGCCAGCACGGGCTGCGCCTGCTCGGGCGGGCGAGGACGGTGGAGAGAAAAAGAAAATAGAAAGCTGGCGGAAAGGGTAAATATCAAAAGTGCGGCAGGAGCCGAGAGCGCCCCGCTGACCGAACCAGAAATGGCGGCAAGGGCCGGGGCCGATCGCATAGCCGCGCCTCCAGCATCAATTCCAAGAAGAATGGTCTATGCAATGCATTTACACGTGGTGATTGCCCCTTGTCTTCCAACCTCTCGCGCGGCATCCGTAAGCTTCGAGTGGCGAGGATGTCTCATACAAAATTGGCTGGGCCATCTCAGGCCAGGTCATCTCGGAGCCCCAGCGAGGATGTCCCAGGCGAAAGGGGCCTGACCACCTCAGGCCGCGGCATCTCTTAGCCCAGAGTTGCAAGAATGTCTCAGGCGAGACGGACTGGACCACAGACCAGGGAATCTCTGAGCGCAGAGTTGCGAAAATGTCTTTGGCGAAACGGGCCAGACCACCCTGCGCGCGCCCTCTCGAAGCCCTTAGCTTCGAGCATGTTCTGGGCGAAATTGGCCAGACGACCTCGCGCGCAGCATCGTTGGGCTCAGCGTTGCGAGGATGTCTCAACCGAAATTGGCTGGACCACACCAGGTCCTAGCATCTCTGAGCTCAGAGTTGCGAGGATGCCTCCGGCGAAAGGGACTGGACCGCTCAGGTCACGGCATTTCGGAACCCAGAGTTGGGAGGACGTCTGACGCAAAATTGGCCAGACAACCCCGGGCCAGGGCATCTCGGAGGCCAGAGTTGCAAGGATGTCTCGTGCGAAACGGGCCAAGCCACTTCATGCCATGGCATTCCCAAGCCTAGAGTTGAGAGGATGTCTCAGGCGGAATTGGCCAGACCACCTCAGGGCGGAACGACTCTGAGCTCAGAGTCATGAGGATGTCTCATGCGGAAGTCTGTTCTGAAGGGCGTCGAAGGTAGCAGTGTGGGCGAAGCTGTCGTCGCCCATAACTAGCAGCACAGCGCGGCACATCCGAACATAACCCCAATCAGCACAGCTGTCTGGAGAATCAAGCGAACGGTATCCCAAAGCCGCCTCTGGCGCCAGCCGAGTGTTGGTGAAGATCTGGTTACGTTCAAGCTCCGAGATGCCCTGACGTGAGATGCTCTGGAGCATTTCTCTTGACTCGTCCTCACACCTCAGCGTTCCAAGATGCGTTTCGCGAGGTGGTCGCGACTGAGACATCCTTGGAACTCTTGGTTCTCATATGCCCCGATTTGAGGTGCGTTGGCCCGTTTCGCCTGAGACATCCTCACAATTCAGGGTTCCTAGATGCTGTTCGCGAAGTGTTCAGGCCCGTTTCGCTTGAGACATCCTTGGAATCTAGGGTAACCAGGGCAGTTCAAATTTCTTCGATTCGCGTCCCAGCCGAGCAAGCTCGAGTCAAACGCACTGGCGTCAGGCGGCGTAGACTTACCACATCTTGGGCAAACTTGTGAAATATCGAGTGGCGTCGGGTGACGTCGAGTTGCCGCCACCCGTTGTATTACTCGAGGCTGGAGTTAGGCAAAACTCAGGAGTTATGTATAATTTACGAGCTATAAGAAACCGTCACAGGTATACTGAATTCTGGAGTCATGTAATACTCGAAGCCGAAAGTATACACTACTCAGGAATATTGTGTAACTCAAGACTTGTATGTCACTCTTGAATGCTACCTTATTAAGAACCAGATTTATACATGATCCCGGGCTCCGGGCCCACGGCCCCCCCCCAGATGGTATGGTCCCAGGATTCCTCGGCCCCCCCCCCCCCCCAGATGGTATGGTCCCAGAGACGACGACGACGACGACGACGACGACGACGACGGCGACGACTACGACGACGGCGACGACGACGACGACGACGACGACGACCACGACGACGACGACGGCTGCGGCGGCGACGACGCCGGCGGCGGCGGCGGCGACGACGACGATGACGACGATGACGACGGCGACGACGACGATGACGACGACGACGACGACGACGACGACGACGACGACGACGACGACGACGACGAGACGACGACGACGACGACGACGACGACGACGACGACGACGACGACCTCTGAACCACCACAGCACCACACCACATCCACAGGGGGGGGAGGGGGGCACCGCAGCGCAGCACCACGCCACGCCCACCTCTGAACCACCACAGCACCACACCACATCCACAGGGGGGGGGAGGGGGGCACCGCAGCACAGCACCACGCCACGCTCACAGGGGGAGGCGGGGGGGACCATCGCGCGGGGGGGGGGGCCAATGGCATCAGCATTGGGGGGGAGGGGGGGGGGCCCAAGCCCTGGACCATACATAACTCCTCAGTTGTGTACTGCTCGGGAGGAGTTGTACCTACTTCTGGAGGTATGTACTACTCGGAGTCATGGTTATACATAACTCGGGAGGTTCAATCGAATTCTGGAGTTATGATCCGCGCCGGAGTTATACATAACTCTCGAGTTATGTACAATTCGGAGCAAGAGTTCTGTAGAACTCACGAGTTATAGAAAACTCCCGGGTGGGGTTGGGGACGGGACGGGGTGGGAGAGCGGCCTCTCGAGGTCCCCATCCTCCCGACTTATCGGGTAACTCCTGAGTTATGTACACTCATGATTTATTTTTTACTCGAGACCACAGGTATACATAACTCAGGAGTTATGTTTAACTCATGAGTTATAAGAAACTGTGAGGAACACCACTGCGTTATGGCGGTGGCGCGAACCGTGACGTTACCACGTGGGGGGCAGGGGGGGCATTCTTGGTAATGGCCGTAATGGCCGTCATCGCGAATCGTAATACGGCGGGCATATGATTGAGAGACCTCCTCCCGACAAGTCGGGCCAGAAAGAACTTGACGGAAAGCTGGCCCAGCTTCTTGAACACGCTAGCCCCCTCCAGCGTGAGCAGCAGACATTGGCCTAGGCTTGTTTCAAGAAACTTTTGGGAAGGTCGCCAAGATTTCTTGAATCATAGTTCTCCTGGCCATATGGGCAAGGCCTTACAGCTGGTGCCGCCGACCCAGAAGGGGGACGACGACCACGACGGCGGCGTCGGCGGCGATGACGACGCTAATGTGGGGCAGAGTCCTCAGCGATGCTTCGTGGGGCCTCTTCGGAGCGCGCTCATAGGCCTCTGGGGGGCAGTTTGGGAGCCCCTTGGGAGCCTCTTCGGGGCCTCGTGGAGAGTCCCTTCGGGCTTCCTGGGGGCCTCCTGGCCTCTTCGGGCCTCATGGAGGCTCCTTGGGGTCCTCATGTTTTCGGTTGCGAAACGCGCCTCAGGACCCGTTGCCTCAGGGCCCGCTTGTCTCACGGCGAGCCCCCGTCCTCCTCCTCCTCCTCCTCCTCCTCTTCCTCCTCCTCCTCCTCTCCTCCTTCCTTCCTCCTCCCCCCTCGCTCCCTCCCTCCAACCCTTCCTGCCTCCCTCCCTCCCCTCCCCCTCCTCCTTCTCCTCCTCTTCTTCCTCCTCCTCCTCCTCCTCCTCCTCCTCCTCCTCCTCCCAGCCCGGGCGCGCACGCGTGCTGCGAGGCCTCCGGGGTGCCGCGCTCGGCGGTGGACGCGGGCGCAATCGCGGCGCTCCCGAAGCTGCGCGAGGCCCCGGCGGTGGAGCGGTCCGACCTGTTCCGTCGGAAGATAGAGGCCATCGGGAGGGGGGAACCTCAGAGGAGGGGGGCCCTCTCCAGGCCTCAGGACCGTCAAAAAACGACTTAGGACGAAATGCCGCCCCCAGGGAAAGAGTCGGGACTTCCAGGGACCCCGCATGTCTGGGTTCAGATGCCGCTACCCTTCCATCTTTTTCGCCTCTTTCGGCCTCCTGGGAGGCCTTCGCCACCACCGCTGGATTCGCCTCGGAATTTTGGTCAGCACGTTTCCTGGGGGAGGTCTGGGGAATAGCGGCATCGGTACCTCTCGGTTTCCCCAGAAACCCTCAGCCTGCACATGCCGCACCTTCCGCGAGGCGAGGCAGGTGCCGCGCTGCCACGGCCGCCGCCGCGGCCGCAGCGGTTGCCACCGTCGAGGCCGCAGCGGCGGCCGCCGCGGCCGCACTGCGGCGGCACCTTCTGCGCGGAAGGTGCGGGAGATCCTGGCGCTGCCTCCTCTTCGCGCCGGGCGCTTTCGCCCAGACTCGGGCCCGGGGCCCTCACGGATCGATCCGCCTCGACACAGTGCCGCAGAACGATGGGGTCCGACGCTCCGGTCGTGATGCGTCGCGAGGGTGCAGCCTTTTGCGGTGGGTTTCAGGGGGGCGGCTGGGCGCCTCCGGCCTCCAGGGCACTCGGCGGGCCCCCGGAGGCCGCCAAGATGCGCCTCGCGGGACGATGGGGCCGGGTCTCAGGCCGGGGAGGAGGAGGAGGCGGAGGAGGAGGAGGCCGGAGGAGGAGGAGGAGGAGGAGGAGGGAGGGAGGGAGGGAGGGGGGGGAGGGGGGGAGGGAGGAAGGAGGAGGAGGAGGAGGAGGAGGAGGAGGAGGAGAGGAGGAGGAGGAGGAGGAGGAGGAGGAGGGAGGGAGGGAGGGAGGGAGGGAGGGAGGGAGGGGAGGGGAGGGACATGGGACATGGACTTGGGCGGACCGAGGTCCGCCTGCCACCGCGGCGGCGCGCGCGAGCGGGAGTGGCGACGAGGAGCCCGAGGGTCCCACCGACAGGTGCACCCCAGCCACGGCCCTCCAGGAAGGGAGGGCCGTGGCCAGGGCCCCACCACCCCCGCGGGGACGGAGACCAACGGGCAACCGAACGCAGCCACCAGGGCCGCCCCCAGGACCCCACGAAGCAGTGCCCAGGCCGCCCCCAGAACCCCAGACGACAGCAATCCGAGCCGAGACCAGCAGCTCCTCATAGCAGCTCGCCCTCACTGCCAGCACTAGTCATCTGGCCCCTCCCTTCTTGTTCTTCTGCTTCTTGCCCGCGGCCCCCGTGAGCACGGAGCGGAAGTCGTCGACTGAGAGCCCGAATCTCTCCAGCACCCTCGCGAGCGCAACCTCGTGCTCCTCGGAGCCAGGCTCGAAGGGGTCGCAGGCCTGGACGATCTGGTCGCAGAGGCCGCCTGGAGCGTCTACGAAGAGCACCTCGCTCCCTTGGCTCTCGTCCTCGGCCAGCCCCGTCAGCACCTCCGCCTCCGCCATCGTCTCGCACTGGGGGGTGGCCACCCGTGGGGCCGCCAGCACCGCGGCTTCGAAGACCGCTGCGTCCTCCAGCTCGTCGTGCTCGAGCCGCTACTGGGCGCGGTGGCGTGCCGCCGCAGCGGCCGCCCTCGCGTGCGCCAGCCGGTGGGCCGCGCCCGTGGCCTCCCAGCTCCACGGCCCCCTCGCGCTCGGCTCCTCGCCGCCAGAGGGGCCCGTGACCCTCCACGCGTCCGCGGCCTCCTGCTGCGCCTTCGCCTCCACATCGGCCGGCTTGGCCGCGACGCTGCCCTCGACGTGCGGCGCCGTCGGCAGCCCCACCAGCACGGGGAGGGCGGGGATGACGAGGAGCACCTGCTGGCCCAGCAGGGCCCCGTGGAGATTTTGGCCTGGATTGGGGCGCGCGGCCTGCACCAGCGGCCTCTCCACGGTCTCCCGGAACGTCGGGCCCGCCGTCTCGGGCACCACCTCGCTCGGCTCCTCGGCGCTGCCCTCCACAAGCTGCGTCTTGTCGAAGAGCGGCGCCGTTGCCTCCTCCGCCGCATTCTTCGCGACCTCGCTGCAGATGCCAGCCTCGGTGAGCAGCACCATCGACACGATATCGCTGCATATGCCAATCTTGGTGTTGCATCGCCTTCGACACCTCCATCGTCTTCTCGAGCCTCTCGGGAGTCAGCCTCAAGGCCTACGCCGTCGGCGCCGACCCCGCAACCGAGCTCCTGCTCGGGGTCCTCGCTGCCGATGCCAATCACGGTGTGCAGAACCGTCGGCACCTCCAGCGTCTTCTCGACCCTCTCGGAGTTCGCCTCGAGGCACCCGCCGAAGGCGCCGACCCCGCCGCTGAGCTCGAGCTTGACCTCCTGCCCGGCCCAATCCTGCTCGACCTGCGGCTCTCCTCCAGCCCGGCCTTGTCATGCGGCACGTCGGAGGCGAGGCTGACGCCGCTCGGCTCCAGCGCTGCTCCTCGCACGTGTCGCCGACGAAGCGGCTCGCTGCTGCGAGGCTGCCCCTGACGATCCCCTTCACCAACAGCTCGCCCAGCACGAACGAGTGGATCTCGAGGACAGCGCCCTGCGCGCGGAAGACCGCGATCGGCCCCTCCGTGTGCACGCCCATCCGCTCGCCAGGCTTCACACCTCCACGGCTCGCCGACACGGGCCGCTCTGAAGCACGCGTCGGCAAGGCCCAAGCGCACGGGGGCGCGGTCAGGGCCCAGAACGGCTAGGAGGAGGAGGAGGAGGAGGAGGAGGAGGAGGAGGAGGAGGAGGAGGAGGAGGAGGAGGAGGAGAAGGAGGGGCCGGGTCCCAGGCCGGGGAAAGGACGTCGGGGCCTCCACTTGCAGGGATTGGAAGTACGAGCAATCGGCAACGCCCAGGCGTGCTAATATGAGGTGCGCATCGGCCCCGGAAGGGCGACGCGCACTCCGAGAAATCTTGCTGCAGAGGCTCCGTGGCGTGCGCTTTCCGGCCATACCGCTGGGGAAACGGGATGCTGCAAGAGGCTTGCACTCGATGCTCGGGTCATGCTGCAGGATGCCTGCACTGCATGTCCGGATCGGACGCGCGCCGACGCCCTGCTGCCTCGCAGGTCTCCGACGGCACGACCTCTTCGCAGTCCCGGCGTCGTTCCTCGATCCTGGGCCCGTCCCCGGGCCGTGGCGCCGGGCACAAGTGGGCCAGCGCGCTGAACCAGTGATGTCTTCTGTCCACGGCCCCAGAGGTCCCGACCGCTTCCCCAGGGCTAGTTTTTCGTCCTGGGTCCATTTTTGAAGGTCCTGGGGCCTGGAATGCTGAAGTCGAAGGGAACCAGCAGGTTGAACAATCATGGCTTCCTTGCGGCAGAAGACCCTCAACAGCTTTACACAAAGTTATGATGGGGGCCACGACGGGGGTCACGATCTGCGGCCACGAGGGGGGACCTGGTCGTACCGTCGGAGAACTGGAAACTGCCCCCCGCGGCGAAGGGGTCGGGACGTCCCTCGGGGCGCGCATCGGACAGACCGCTACAAGACTTTCATGGTCTAATGGGACCGCCTTCCTTCCCGCCCCGTCCCGCGGCCGCCGCCTCCTGCCCCCAAACGCTCTGTGCTTTGTTTTAATGTGAGCAGCAGCCCTGCTTCTTCGACCGACTCGCGCGATCGCCGTGCCTGCGATCAAAAGTGCCTGGGGCCTGTGAGACGTTTCTGTTCATCAGAATGAGCACTTAAATGCCAAGCGTCTCCTTACTGCTCACGAGACACTAGATAACCGCCTGTCCGACCTTCTCTGTGATCTTCTCCTCGTTCGCATCATCTGAGCGACTCAGACAAGCGGGTCCATCTTCACCGACTTTGGCGCGTAAGCGTCCCGCGTAAGGTCGCGCGTAAGCGCCCTCGCTGCCAATACGGCGTGCCGCGCCGGCGGCCGGCGTGAGCCCCCGCGTAAGGTCGCCATGCCCACGTGCTTGCGACACGTTTTTCTTTTCGTCGCTAATATGTGGGCTCTTCAAGAGCTTGTTTTCCACGGGCCCAGACATCCTGCGCCTTGATTTTTTCGAGACGCTGCCCTCCTTTACCTCTCGACCCTCGCAAGCGCACTGCTGCGAAGGGATCGCTCACATGCGCATTTCACAATCGCCTGTCTGTCCAGCGCCTTCTGGATGGCCGCCACCGGGGCTTCTTGGAGCTGTATTGGACCATCTGTGCAGGGGTAAGGGGCACACTTCAGCGCCGATCCAAGGAATCCACTCGGACCTCTGAAAGTTCCTCTGTACGGTGTGTGCACTGTTCCTCTAGGGAGCGCGAGCGCCCGTTCAGCGGAGCCATTAGCGGTGTGGCTGGTTGCGTTGGTGCTGCTCGCAGCGGTGCTGATGACATGGCACTGCGATGCTCGAGGGGAACTGCATCAGATTGGGGCGAGCTGTGAATGAAGTGAGGGATGAGGGATGAGGGATGGTGCTGCTGCTGACGATGATGACGACGATGATAATGACGATGCTGATGCTGGTGCTGCTGCTGATGCTGAGGCTGATGCTGCTGCTGATGATGATGATGATGATGATGATGATGATGATGATGATGATGATCATGATGATGCTGATGCTGCTGATGATGATGATGACGCTGCTGCTGCTGCTGCTGATGATGCTGATGTTGATGATGATGCTGCTGCTGATGATGATGATGATGCTGTTGATGTTGATGATGATGATGCTGCTGCTGCTGCTGCTGATGATGATGAAGATGATGATGATGATGATGATGATGATGATGATGATGATGATGATGATGATGATGATGATGAGGTGGAGGAGGAGGAGGAAGCGAGGAGCGAGGGGGATATGGGGTAACGGATAAGGGATGACATGATGAGGGGTGATGATGTCCATCGGCAGGTTGGATATTCATATATCAAGAATCCCAGATCCAAATCTACTCTTGGCTGCTTCCTACTTCAATGATCGAGTGTTGTTTTCCTCCCGTGCAGGGGTTGGGCGCAAGCCCAGTGTACTTCATGCTTCTACCTGCTTCCAGCGACCGACGTGCAATGATAATGATCCGTTACAAGGTTTCGAGGCCCTCTTTTTGGCCTGCGCGGCCAGGGACGAGTGGCCGGCTGACCGAGCGCGACTGGGTCCGAGGGCCGTCAGAAATTCCGCAATTCCCAGAGGAGGAGGAGGAGGAGGACGAGGAGGAGGAGGAGGAGGAGGAGGAGGAGGACAAGGAGGAGGAGGAGGAGGAGGAGGAGGAGGAGGCCTGGGAGGCCTGGCGAGACACGGGCTCGGGCCCGGCCCCGCCGCTGCTGCCCTCCCCTCCCAATCGCACCATGGCATCGTTGCTACTGCAGCGCGGGATTGCACATCCTTTGTGCACGAGCAGCTGCAGGTGTGCATGCATGCACGCATGCACGCATGCATGCCACCTGTGGCGGGGATTCGTTGAGGGAGCCGAGGCCTCCGGGGCTCGACTCCCAGGAGCCACTGGACGCGTCCCAGAGCCAGGCGGAAAAGGCCGCGCAGGATCACTGCTTGAGAGCTCCTCCCAGACCTGATCGCGCCGTAAAAAAGTCAGGTCGGGAGGTTTTGGGCCGTTTTCGGCCTCGGGAGGCCCTCTCCGGGCCTCGGGGCCGTCAAACAACGATTCCGGATGAAGAACCGGTCCCGGGGAAAGGGCCGGGACTTCCAGGGGCCCCGTGTGGAAGAAAAAATCAGGACGTCGCATGGTCTGGGCTCGAGTTCATCGAGCCGATCGCATCGTGGCACTGCCCTCTCTCGCAGCGGCTTTGGCCGCCCCCCCGCCGCGCCTCGCGCGCGCGCGGGCCCCCGCGGGCGGGCACCCGACCGTCGCGAGCGCGAGGCTACCTGGACGCTGCCGGGGGGCCACGTCCGACGAGGGGGAGGAGGAGGGGATTACTAGGCTCAAGTCGGGCCTGTCCTTCTACGGGAGGAATATTCTGAAATAGTCCAAAATTATCCCAGTGCGACCCTACCTAGGAGTTGGAACCCCTAGGAAAGCAGCATTAGTAGTAACAGTAACGCTAAGCTAAAGCTAAGCTAAAGCTAAGCTAAAGCTAAGCTAAAGCTAAGCCAAGCTAAGCTAAAGCTAAGCTAAGCTAAGCTAAAGCTAAGCTAAAGCTAAGCTAAAGCTAAGCTCAAGCTAAGCTAAGCTAAGCTCAAGCTAAGCTAAACGCTAAGCGAAAAGCTAAGCGAAACGCTAAGCGAAACGCTAAGCTAAAGCTAAGCTACAGCTAAGCTAAAGCTAAGCTAAAGCTAAGCTAAAGCTAAAGCTAAAGCTAAAGCTAAAGCTCCCAGGGGACTGGGGGGAACCGCTCCCAGGGGACCGGGGGAACCGCCCGGGGCGTGTAGCACTGCCCGGCCCCTTTAAGCTAAGAGAGTAAGAACCCTTCTAGGCAGAGCCTAGGTAGGGAAATAGTCAGGGGGCGATTTGTTTGGAATTGTTGGACCATTTGGGGGTATCTTTTTGACTATATATTTCATTTCGTCCAAAATCCGGTTGTACTCAGGGGGACATGCCCGACCTAATCCTAGGCTGCCCGCCCCCGATGCCTGGAGCCCGTGCCGCGCGGCCCAGCCGGGCGGGCGGGCCGGACGGGCCTCCTGCAGGGCGGAAAGGGGGAAAAGGGGCAAGGGGAAGGCCACCACACCATCCAGACAACCAGCCTGAGGCCATGGCATCCGAGGCGGGGGTTTATCCATAACCACCGCCTGGGGGACGAATCTTCGCGGACCTCGCAGGCGGTGTGTATATTTATATATATATATATACATATGCACACATATATGTGTATATATATATATACATACATACATACATACATACATACCTACATACCTACCTACCTACCTACCTACCTACCTACCTACCTACCTACCTACCTACCTACCTACCTACCTACCTACCTACATACATACATACATACATACATACATACATACTTACATACATACATACATATATATATACATACATATATATATATATATATATATCCACATCCACACCCACCGCCCGCTGGGGCACCAGGACGTCGTTTCCCAGGCGGTGGATGTGGTTGAATCCCCGCCTCGCAATGGCATCACCCTCGATCTCCACCGTCCGCCGGCACCTTCCGGCGCGGCAGGTGCGGTGCCGCAGGGGGGTTGCCGCCGCGGCCGCAGCGGAGGGGCGGCACCTGCAGCGCGGAGGGCGCGGGAGAGGCGGAGGGAGGGCCGCGGCCCTCTCGACCTGCCAGCGGGCTGGGGGTGCTCTCGTCTGTGGCCCGGCTGGTTCCTCGGGGCTCCTCCTTCGATCGGCTATGCGTAAGAGCGACCTTTCGCCGGAGTGATCTAGCAATCCCCCGCAGCTGCGGATAAGAGAGAGGGTGCTTGGCGGCGCTCTTAGAAGCCACGACGCGCTCGCTGCTAGCAGGACTTGAACCGAAACCGCTACGGGCACCGCCCCTCTTCGGTGAGCCCTCCAAGCGTGCCACCGTGGCCCCCCAGCGTGGCCTCCCAGCGAGTCCTCCAAGTGTGGCCTCCAAGCGTGGCCTCCCAGCGTGGCCTCCCTCCGTGGCCTCCCAGCGTGGCCTCGATCGGCTATACGTAAGAGTGACCTTTCGCTGGAGTGACCTTTGGTGCGGGCACACTGGGGTCCCCAGATGGTTGAGTGCGATGCGCTGGCAGCGGCTTGCGCGCTCCGGTTCGGCCTCTCTGCGGCCCCCGAAAGTCGCGCACCAAAGGTAACTCTTGCCTAGGGCCACTCTTACGTGTAGCCGATGAGGCTCCTCCGATTCGGCTCGGCTCGATCTCGAGGGGTTCCGATTCCGATGCGGTTTGAGTTCGGCTTCCGGCTTGGGTTCCGATTTCGCCGTGGGGGCCTTCTGGCATACCGACTTCCGCCGATTCGAGTCCTCCCGACTTGGTTGACGATCTCTGCCGATCCGGTTCATTTCGATCGCCGATCCGACTTGACGATTCGATTATGGGCTCTGCTGGAGTCCTCTTGTCCGTGGCCTGGTGGGGGATTCATCGGTCGTCACATTCCTTTGCAGCCGAGTTTGATTCGTAGGCCGCTTCCGACTCCAGGGCGCCCCTGTGTCCTGCGTATGGCGTGGCGTCGCATGCCTGCTGCACTCCTGGGGCAGCGGTGCGCTGGGTCAGTCGCCATGTTGCCCTCGGTCCCCTCTTCCTCCCCGAGGAGGGACAGCAATCGTCGGAGGTCTGGGGTGGAAGAGGAGGAGGAGGAGGAGGAGGAGGAAGAGGAGGAGGAGAAGAAGGAGAAGGAGGAGGAGGAGGAGGAGGAGGAGTAAGCAGCATTGATACTGCCGCCGTCCCTCCTAGGCAGCCCCTTCCTCCCCCCATGCAATGTGTTTCACAGCGCTTCGCACGCGTGCGCTTTTGCATCCGCCGCGCCTTCACGGCGCCACAGCCGTAGCCGCAGCCGCAACCACTGCCATCGGTAGAGTCTCGTGTCTTCTCGCGTGCCCATTGCCCTCGGTAGAGTCTTGCGTCTTCTCGCGTCGGCGTCGTCGTCGTCGTCGGTCGTCGTCGTCGTCGTCGTCGTCGTCGTCGACGACGACGACGACGTCGACGTCGCTGTCGTCAGCTGGGGAACCAAAAAGGGAAACATGTGAGCGCCCCTTCGGGGGCGGGGTGGGGCGCTTCTGCCCCCCCCCCCCCCCCATGGAGGGGTTCGCTGCAGACAGCCCACGGCACGGAATCCAGCCCCCTTCCCCCCCCCTTGTGGCTCCTTCCCCGGGCAGGTCTGCTGCGTGGTCTTCAACTTCTCGAACGACTCGTGCCAGCGCGAGAAGGACCGAAGTAGGAAACATGGTATAATATGAACTGTCGAGGCTCCGTGCGAATTTCTTGGACCTGCTCTGGGCCCCACCCTGGTGGCGCCTCTGGCGCCAACCCTGGCGCGCTCCGCGCGCCAAGGTCCGGCGCGGATCCGAGAAATCCTCGCGGACCTCCGAAAATTTCTGTTATCCCGTTTTCGTGTTTTCGTACAGGATGCCAAGCGCCAGACTCTGCTGGAGATGGTAGAGTACGTGAACAACACGCGAAACTGTTTCAACGAGGCCCTCATGCAGAATGTCGTGAACATGGTGAGTGTCAATATTTTTCGAGCCCTGCAGATACGGAACAAGGATGTAAGAACCTTTTCGGACCCGGAAGAGGAAGAACCTAACCTTGAAAGGGCGTGGCCACACTTGCAGATTGTGTATGAGTTTTTCCTGCGCTTCATTGTCTCGAACGACGTGGACCCCAAGATCGCGAAGCGTTTTGTTGACCAGAACTTCATGACAAAGTTGCTCGAGCTCTTCGACTCTGAAGACCCCCGCGAGCGTGAACCGGGAGAGGGGCAAGGAGGGGGAGGACAAGGATGAGGAGGAGGAGAAGGAGGAGGAGGAGAAGCAGAAGCAAAAGGAGGACGAGGAGGAGGAGGAGGAGGATGACCTCCACTTGCTCCTCATCCCCCAGAAAAGGAGGAGGACGAGGAGGAGGAGGAGGAGGAGGAGGAGGAGGAGGGGATGAGGAGGAGGAGGACCTCCACTTGCTTCTCCTCCTCCTCCTCCTCCTCCTCCTCCTCCCCCTCCTCCTCCTCCTCCTCTCTGGATCCTCCCCTGGAGGTGACTACCTCAAGACGATCCTGCACCGCATCTACGGCAAGTTCATGGCCCTCCGCTCTTTCATCCGCCGCGCCATCCAGCACGTCTTCTTCAAGGTCACCTACGAGTCGGAGAGCCACAACGGCGTTGGCGAGCGGGCGGCTCAGCAGCAGATCTTGGCCTTAAGTCGGGCGTCTCCCTCTACAGGGGGAAGATTCAAACATAGTCGAAACATAGTCTGGGGGCGATCTTTTTGAATTGTTTGGCGTAGCTATTTTTGGATAGTTTTTGACTATTTTTCATTTTTCGCCCACAATCCGCCTGTAGGAGGACCCGACCTAAACCTTGGCCCAGACCTCATGGCGGCACCAGAAAGCCGCCCTCCACTGAGACCCTGACGTTTCAATTTTATTCGAGCCTGGCGTCTTCGCCTTTCGTCGGGCCCTGGGACCCTCACATATAGATCAGCCTCGAGAAATGACGCAGAAAGATGGGGCCCAGGGCTCCAGGTGTGATTTCTTACGATGTTGCATTTCTTTCGCGACGTCGGATCTCAGGGACACCGCCCTCTTCCGTCGGCTCCAGGGGGGGGGGCTTACCAGCCTCAGGGCGCTTCTCAGCAGACCCTGGCCAGGCCTCCCTGGCGACGTCCAGGAAGCCGCGCTCCCGTCTGCTCCAGAGAGGCATCACATCTCTGTGAGGGCGCTTTTCGTGAACAGCGCCTCGTCGAGAGCCTCTTCCCGGGGTGCCTGGATCTTAGCGGGCGCGGAACCGTATGGAGTATGTCCGCCGTCGGGGACGCCTGTCCCAGGGCGGTTGGGAAGTTGATACACCTACGGTGGCACGTCAGGGCATAATGGGCCTGTTTTTTATTCCGGGGCGATAGCGGGCGTCACAGAGGGGGGGGAAGGGGGCCGGTGACGTCGCGTTCCGCGCCGGCGGTGTCTGAGAATGCTGAGGAATGACCGAGGACGGGCAGGAGCAGCTTGTAGGTGGCGATCTGCACCACAGAGACCGTGTGAACCACAGTGCCTGCGTGCACCACAGCGCTTGTGTATACCACAGCGCCTGCGTACACCACAGCAGCCGCGCGAAACGCAGCGCCAGTGTGCACCACAGTGCCTGCATGCACCACAGCGCGTGTGTACATCACGGCGCCTGCGTACACCACAGCAGCCGTGTGCAACACAGCACCAGTGTATACCACAGAGCCTGCGTGCACCACAGCGCCTGTGTACACCACGGCGCCGAAGTGCACCACAGCAACCTTGTGCAAAGAAACTATTGTTGTGTGTATATATGTAGGAGGTTGTAAGGAATCGTTGTGGCAAAATGGGGCGTCTGTGGTTTCCACAAGGGAAGAAATTGTTGTGTATAGGATGTGGGAAGGAATCCTTCAGGAAAAAAGAGCGCTTGTGGAATCTACGAGTCCTCCCGAGCCCCCCCCGCATCATTCACATTTCTCCCATCTGCGTCCAGAAGGCTCCCGCAGAGTTGGCCCTCCGAAAACCAAGTGGGTCGATTCAATCGACCATTTTTCTAGGAGTCATACTGAGATGCGCACGTGCGCTGTAGAGCTGACCCGCGTGACGGGGGAAGGGTGAGGGAAAAGGAGGAGGAGGAAGAGGAGGAGGAGGAGGAGATGAGGAGGAGGAGGAGGAGGAGGAATAATAATAAGAATAATAAGAACAATAAGAATAATCATATTAATAATAAGGGTAATAACGCTAAGAAGAAGAGGAGGAGGAGGAGGAGGAGGAGGGAGGAGGGGGGAGGAGGGAAGAACATCGCATATTATTTTCAGCAGTCCCCTGGCGTGGTGTTCGGCTGTCCGCAGCAGATCCTTACTGGCATGCTCCTTCTACCTGTCTTGTGCCCGCAGGCACTGTGGTGTACAGCAGCGTTGTGTTGCACGCGGATGGTGTGGTGTACGCAGGCTCTGTGGTGTGCACAGGCGCCGCGGTGCACGTAAACATTGTGGTGTACACAGGCGCCGTGGTGCAGACGGCTGCTGCGGTGTACACATTCGCTGTGGTGTACGCGGGCGCTGGAGTGCACGCAAGCGCTGTGGTGTGCACAGGCGCTGTGGTACAGACGGCTGCTGCGATGTACACATTCGCTGTTGTGTACACGCGAGCTGTGGTGCACGCGAGCACTGTGTTGTACACAGGCGCTGCGTTGCACACGAATGTTGCGGTGTACGCTGGCGCTGTGATGTGCACGCGCGCTGTGGCGCACGCGAGCACAGTGGTGTACACAGGCGCTGTGGTGCAGATCACCACCTACATGCTGCTCCTGCCCGTCTTCGGTCATCCCTAGACATTCCCAGACGCCGCCGGCGCGGAACGTGACGTGACGGCCGTGATCGCGGAAAGTTGAAAACAGGCTTACTCTTTCCAGCCGCCCTGGTGCAGGCGTCCCCGACGGCGGACAGATTTATCTTCATGGGCCTGTTTTCCACCACCACCACCACCATAAGTTGGAGGGGGGAAGGAGGTGGAGGATGAGGAGGAGGACGAAGAGGAGGAGTAGGAAGAGGAGGAGGAGGAGGAAGAGGACCAGTTTATCTGATGCCGTTTTTCGTCCGCTGAGGGCCGTTCCACCAAGGGCCCAGCCAGACGCCCAGCGGCTCGCAGAGAGAAGCCGCGCCAGGGGATAGGGGGCCTCCACGTGTCGCGCGCCTCGCAGTGCTCCTCGCGCGGGGAGGGGGCGCCCCCGACATCCGCCGAGGCGGCGTTGACGATTTTTCTGCGGCCCTGGGCCCACTCGGGGGCGGCAAAGAGGAGGGTGATGACTATCACCGCCCACCAAACCACCCCAACCCAACCCGAAGGCCCCGATATGCCCTCCGTTTCCAGTGGGGGGGGGTCGGGGAACACTGAAAAACACATCTGAAGCCCATACCCCCCCAACCCGAAATTCGGGTCTTCGGGTTGGGTTGGGGTGGTCTGGTAGGTTGTCAGACTAGGGGGGGTGAATATCTCCTCAGATTTCATGGCGGGGGCCACGATATCTCCTCAGATTTCATGGCGCCTCTTCTTATCGAAGACGCCTACGGCGAATCACCGCCGCCCCCTGCCTTTTTGGAAGCGCCTATGTGGCCGAACGTTGAGGCCAGACCTGCCAAGCTATCGGACCATGTGTTCCCCGAATCGGTTTGGAAAGCCTTCGGGGAACACGTGGGCATCTTGAAGGTCATCTTGGCCGTCTGGAGGCCATTTTGACCCTTTCGGACCCTCTTGGAGGACGTCTTGGAGGGCTCTTGGGCCGTCTTGGAGGCCATCTTGAGCGTCTTAGAGGCCTCTTGGGTCGTCTTGGGGGCCTCTTGGGGCCGTCTTGGGCCTCTTGGACGATCTTTGGGGGCACTTGGGCCGTTTCGGGCCGTCGGAAGGCCGAACAACAAGCAAATGCCGCAATCCTTCAAAAACTCATGGCAAATCAGTGCTTTTGGCCTTTCGGGACTTCCTGCAGGCCCTCTTGGAGGCCTCTTGGGCCATATTAGGGCCATCTTCGGCCGTCTTGGTGGGCTCCTGGCCCGTCTTGGAATGCTCCTGGGCCGTCTTGGAGGCCTCTAAGATGGCCCCATGACGGCCCAAGAGGCTGAGGCCCCCAAGACGGCCCCAAGAGGGCCCCAAGACGGGCCAAGAGGCTTCGAAGACGGCCCCGAAGCGCCCCAAGGGGGCCCCAAGCCGGTTCAGAGAGGCCCCCAAGACGGCTCCCGACGGCGTCAGACGGGCCAGGAACCCACCAAGATGGCCGAAGTTTGCTCGAAGCTGACCCAAGACGGCCAAAGAGGCCTCCAAGAGGACCTCCAGGAAGGCCAGAAAGTCAGAAAAGTATATATATATATATATATATGTATGTGTATATAGATACATATGTATATTTATATTTATAAATATACACATAATTTATACATATATATATATATATATACATACATACATATATGTGAAAGTGTTTTATATAACAAATTCCCAATGTTTTTTTGACTGATTTTGACATTTGCTTCTTTTCGGCCTTCCGACGGCCCGAGACGGCCCGAGACGGCACCCAAAGATCGCCTAAGAGGCCTCCAAGATGGCCCCAGAACGGGCCAAGAGGCCCCCAAGACGGCCCCAAGAGGCCCAGATGGCCTCGTGGGTGCTCTGGGGGCGATCTTGGGGGCCTCTTGGGCCATCTTGGACAGCGGGAAGGCTTAAAAGAAGCATACATATGTCAAAATCGTTGAAGAACCAATGGGAAATCAATGATTTTGGCCTCTTCGGGCTCTCCTGGGGGACCTCTTGGCACCCTCTTGGGCCATCTTGAGGCCATCTTGGAGCCATCTTGGCCCGTTTTGAGGCTTCTTGGGCGATTTAGAAGGCATCTTGGACCCTCTTGGGCCGTCTTGGAGGCCATCTTGGATCATCTTGGGCGAACTTGGAGGCCATCCTGGGCCATCTTGGCCGTCTTGGAGGCCATCTTGGGCCAACTTGGGGCAACAAGGCATCGACGGATGCGTTTTGAGATCCTTCCAGGGACCCCGGCGGGACGCGCCGGAGCCCCAAGAACCACAATTAAAACCGAAATCATCTAGCACGCCAGGCACCCCTCCGATGAATCGACAGGGGGCGGCGGATTTCATTACGTCCCTGGCCCCGCCCGTGGGCCGCGCACGTGCCGCCGGCCATGATGTGCGCCCCCCCCTCTTGGACGCCTCCCTCATGGCCGCCCCCAACCAACATTTCCGACGATCTGATACACTCTTGTTGTCAGCGGCCAGCAGTTTTTGTTCCTCGACCTCGGCCCGTGGGGGGACCGAGTTCGGCCCCCCTGGGCCATCAAACGGGGATCCGGGGCCAGAGCACTACAGTGGAAGCCCATGCCAAGAGACGCCCTGCTTGCCTCCAGGGTGCCCTGGGTTTCTTGGGTTTTGATGGTTTGCGATGGAAAGCGTGACGTTCCCACACAAACGAATCGATGGCCGTCCTGGTGTCCCAGGGTTGGGTTTCTCGGGTTGATCCAAAACGGGGTCCAGCGACAAAGGGGTGGTGCAATAGATTTGGTGCAATAGATTTGTGGGGTTGCAATTCATTTGGGGCGTGCAATGCATTCTGGGGCGCAGATGTATTGCTGGATTTCCGCGTGCAATCCATGACTTGCAATACAATG